TAACAAAAGATAGACTGATCATTATACACAAGGTAATAAGACCAAATCCAAATAAATAAATATTATTTGACGTTGAGGTAACAGCGTTGTTACCATCATCAGATAAAAGTACTGAATTAATTTTCTGTTACTGAAAACATAACACATTATTTAGATTTCGTCTTATTACCTTGTGTTTATAATCTATAATCCAAATTGTACCTTATTATTGGATTTGGTCTTATTACCTTGTGTTTATATTCTACTAGCCGAATGACCCGGGCAACGCCCGTGTTTTACCCGATTGAATGTTTTGATTCAAATACTATTTGTTACAATTATAAATTGGCGCCTTAAATAAATGCATATTTTAGTTAATAACTATAGCCTATGTGCTTTATCTGTCTATGTACTGTTGGCTTCCGTAGGCGTCTCTTACTGGGAAAAAGAAAGAGAGGATTCCATTTGGTTATTAACTAATATATGCATTTATTTAAGGAGCGACCCACTCCAACACAATAATTACATAAACGAAAAGTCGAGTGGGGGGGGGGGGCAAAGGTGGCGTGATCGTAGCCGACTAATAGGAGGGCGCCATTCCAAAAAAAAAGCAACCTGTGACAGAGGCCACGCATGACGCTCGTAACTGTATATAGAATAATCCAAATTGTACCTTATTTTTGGATTTGGTCTTATTACCTTGTGTTTATAATCTATAATCCAAATTGTGCCTTATCATTGGAGATTTGGTCTTATTACCTTGTGTTTATAATCTATAATCCAAATTTTGTCTTATCATTGGAGATTTGGTCTTATTACCTTGTGTTTATAATCTATAATCCAAATTTTGTCTTATCATTGGAGATTTGGTCTTATTACCTTGTGTTTATAATCTATAATCCAAATTGTGCCTTATCATTGGAGATTTGGTCTTATTACCTTGTGTTTATATTCTATAATCCAAATTTTGTCTTATCATTGGAGATTTGGTCTTATTACCTTGTGTTTATAACCTATAATCCAAATTGTGTCTTATCAATTATTGAGGTAATTTTGTATCTTCTATCACAAGAGAGGTCAATAATTAATTCCTGCGGTGAGCCACAGATGTTGCGTGACACCCCAACGTCTAAATATAGTGGAGGGTTGGGTGCCAAAATATCACCCCGCCGCAATGTTTCTTTTTGGTCGACTCTTTCTTTTCCTTGATGGATAATTATATAGAGCACGCCACACATGCACCAAAAGAAGACTGAATACAAAAAATTATATGTGAACAAATATTAGATACAATTTGGATTATAGATTACAAAGTAATAAGACCAAATCAAATAAATAAATAGTGTGTGACGTCTCAGTATCAGCGTTGTTACCGAAACATCAGACACTATTTTTAAATTTGGATTTGGTCTTATTACTTTGTGTTTATGTGAAAAAATAATAATAAAAAAGGTCAGGTGTTGATATTAAAAATAAAATGGGTATTTTCTGACTGCTCACATAAGGTTTTTAGCTCTGCAATTATGTGTCCTTTACAGGGAGGTTCTACTGTATACAGTAAAACCCCTCTATAGCGAACACCAATGGAACTGAACCTTTGGTTCACTATAGCCATAGTTTATTGTAGCCATAGTTCACTGTATTATTCATTTTTATTGTTATCCCTAGTATATGTGATACAGGCCATGATAATCATGGTGGGTAGAAATTGGCAACTGCTTTTACTGTAAATGCACCACTTGTCTACACATGTGAAAAGCAGTTCAACTTTGCACTTACAAATGTGCCCTGTTTGGTTACTTGCACTTGCTGGTGGGGTTGTACTTTTGTAAGAACCGGGGGCCATTGGAGCAATTTTTTTTACGTACTCAATGTATGTACTAAAGTACTTTTGTCTGAAGATGGTAACAATGCTGTTACTGAAACGTCGCACACTATTTATTTATTTGGATTTGGTCTTATTACCTTGTGTTTATGTGAAAAATAATTTAAAAATAGAAAAAAAGTTAGATGTTGATCATAAAAACAAAATAGGCATTTTCTGACCACTCACATGTGCTTATTAGATGGCAGAGCGCCATCTAGTGGAACAGAAATAAACTAAATGTTGATTTAACCTGTTCCCTGATATTTGGCCAACCCAATTTCTTGATAAATAAAAAAAAGTCAACCACGAACGCATTTCGGGCTGTTGGCTTTCGTCAGTGTGGTGCAGAATGTACCTCTACGACTAAAATTATTTATAAAATTACAGTAGAACCTCCATGAAAGGACACTCGCGCTAGAGGACACCTCTCTACAAAGGACAGTAACTGTGTTTGCTATGGCACCCAGGGATACAGTAGAACCTTCATGAGAGGACACTCACGCTAGAGGACACCTCTCTACAAAGGACAGTAACTGTGTTTGCTATGGCACCCAGGGATACAGTAGAACATACTCCATGAGAGGACACTCACGCTAAAGGACATCTTTCTATAAAGGACAGTTTCCATCACCAATACAGTAGAACCTTCATGAGAGGACACTCACGCTAGAGGACACCTCTCTACAAAGGACAGTAACTGTGTTTGCTATGGCACCCAGGGATACAGTAGAACATACTCCATGAGAGGACACTCACGCTAAAGGACATCTTTCTATAAAGAACAGTTTTAATATGAAATAAGACCATTTTTACTATTTAACAACTCTCTGGTAAGAGGACATCTCTCTCTAAAGGACACTTTGGCTCTTCAATTAGATGTTCTTCACAGGGAGGTAGTTCTACTGTATATATCTAAGAGTATTTCAAATTCTTATATTTAAAAAGAGTTTGAATATTGGGTAAAAAGTAGTTTATAATTACAAAGAAACTTATCATTGAAGATAAAGGACACTTTGGCTCTGTAATTAGGTGTTGTCCTTTACAGGGAGGTAGTTCTACTGTATATAGTAAAACCCCTCTATAACAAACCCCAATGGGACTGAACCTTTGGTTCAATATAGCCATGGTTGGTTATAGCCATAGTTCACTGTATTATTTATTTTTATTGTTATCCCTAGTACACGTGGTACAGGCCATGATAATCATGGCAGGTAGTTAGCGACTGCTTTTACTCTAAGTGCACCACATGTCTATACATGCGAAATATAGTTCGACTTTATACTTACAAATATGCCAGAGCCCTGTTCACTATAATTAAAAATAAATAGTGTGTGACACATTTCTGTAACTGCATTGTTACCATCAGACAAAAGTACTGAATTTTTCAGTACTAAGATTCAGTACTTTTGTCTGATGATGGTAACAACGCTGTTAACCGAAAGGTCACACACTATTTATTCATTTGGATTTGGACTTATTACCTTGTGTTTATAATCTACTAGACAAATGGCCCGGGCAATGCCCGGGTTTTACCCGAGTGCGTATATATATTTAAAATGTTTTAATTAAAATACTATTCGTTACAATTATAAATTGGCGCCGTGGATGTCTCTCTTGTGAAACGTCCCGCCCCAAACTGTGTGTGTCTTGAAAATATAAAAATAAAAATGTGAACGGAAAAATATGTCCAGGGTAGCCTAGTGGTCATGGCATCTGCCCGGTAAGTGGAAGGTCGTGAGTTCGATTCCCATCCCTTGACACTTTTTTTATTTTATCCATTCTGACCAAAATCTATCCGTGAACTTCACACAGTGAACTTCACACAGAGAGAATAAGGCAATTATATAAGTAGATAATCCAAATTGTGCCTTATCACACACTATTTTTTTATTTGGCCTTATTACCTTGTGTTTATAATCTATGACGTAATGCCGGCGGCGCGCGCCCGTTGGCTGCCGGCGAGCACGTGACCTCCCTGTGCGCGCGCATCCGTGACAGAACCGGCCGGCCCATGACTGTCGTGACTATATATATAATAATCCAAATTGTGCCTTATCATTGGAGATTTGGTCTTATTACCTTGTGTTTATAATCTATAATCTAAATTGTGCCTTATCATTGGAGATTTGGTCTTATTACCTTGTGTTTATAATCTATAATCCAAATTGTGCCTTATCATTGGAGATTTGGTCTTATTACCTTATGTTTATAATCTATAATCCAAATTGTACCTTATCATTGGAAATTTGGTCTTATTACCTTGTGTTTATAATCTATAATCCTAATTGTACCTTATCATTGGAGATTTGGTCTTATTACCTTGTGTTTATAATCTATAATCCTAATTGTGCCTTATCATTGGAGATTTGGTCTTATTACCTTGTGTTTATAATCTATAATCCAAATTGTACCTTATCATTGGAAATTTGGTCTTATTACCTTGTGTTTATAATCTATAATCCTAATTGTACCTTATCATTGGAGATTTGGTCTTATTACCTTGTGTTTATAATCTATAATCCTAATTGTGCCTTATCATTGGAGATTTGGTCTTATTACCTTGTGTTTATAATCTATAATCCTAATTGTGCCTTATCATTGGAGATTTGGTCTTATTACCTTGTGTTTATAATCTATAATCCAAATTGTACCTTATCATTGGAGATTTGGTCTTATTACCTTGTGTTTATAATCTATAATCCTAATTGTGCCTTATCATTGGAGATTTGGTCTTATTACCTTGTGTTTATAATCTATAATCCTAATTGTGCCTTATCATTGGAGATTTGGTCTTATTACCTTGTGTTTATAATCTATGATCCAAATTGTGCTTTTTCATTCACTATATTATAAAATATAAATGGGAATTATTTCAGGTTTGTTATAAGGGAAGGTTTGCTATATCCTAGGTTAGTTTTAACTGTATTTTATTGTATACCATTGTTTCTGGCCCACCCTATATTTTGTTGAGATTGATAAACAAATCTGTGAAATCAATGTTATATTTTGACCAAGTATTTGTTTGCTTTTAAAAGTAATGACGATATAGCATAATTTGGATTATAGATTATAATACAAGAAAATAAGATCTAATCCAAATAATTTATTAGTGTGTGACGTTTCAGACAAAAGAATAAATGACAAAAAAAAAAAAAGGCACCGATGAGATTCAAACTCATGATTTCCTGTTTACTAGACAGATGCTTTAATCAACTAAGCCACAGCACCACACTATCTCATTTATTTTTTTGTCTGATGATGGTAACAATGCTGTTGCCGAAACATCACACACTATTAAATTATTTGGATTAGGTCCTATTTTCTTGTATGCCAAAGAGTTGTTTAGCTGGCAAAGTGGCTGGGCCAAATCTATGGCCTCTTAGATATTCCAGTGTTTTGGATCAGTTACTGTGCCAAACATTATCTTAGACAAAAGACAATTAAAATAATTTTATTGACATCTTGTCAATACATTCAAAGTGCACAGTCTGCACTATTTAAAAAAGATGCATTATGATAAGGCACAATTTGGATTATAGATTATAAAAACAAGGTAATAAGACCAAATCCAAATAAATAAATGACTTAAATGAATGATTTATTTGGATTTGGTCTTATTACCTTGTGTTTAAGATGCATTATAAACACTATGTACAAAGAACACAGCACCTGTGCCAGCGCTGCAGAGTTTGGTGGAGAATCACCAGTGGATCTCCAGCGACACCACATATTTTGTGATCTACGAAGAATACGTAGATCGCGTATTTCGCCGCTTAGGAGATGGTGATGGCGTGGTCCTCGAGACCAACTGGGAAGATCCAGGACTGCACATTATCTTAGAGCCTGTGTTGGGGAAGTTTGGTCTTCTAAAGAGGGATTCCTTGACACCTGTCTACCCAGGTCAACACAATGTGACAACTTGCTTCTTTGCCACTTTTTTTATTCTTGAGTATTGCCACACACACACACATCAGGACAAATATTTCAATCTTACACCAAATTACACTCATGGACAAAACTTGAGGAAGTCCCACCAGCAAGTGCAAGTAACCAAACGGGGCTCTGGCACATTTGTAAGTGCAAAGTCGAACTGTTTTTCACATGTGTAGACATGTGGTGCACTTATAGTAAAAGCAGTCGCCTACTTCTACCCACCATGATTATCATGGTCTGTACCACGTGTACTAGGGATAAGCAAACTTGAGGAAGTGGAAAGTCTGGGGGAAGAGTAACAAGTTCTTTTAAAAACCTGGGCTCAGCTGGCCTATTTTCCATTCCAATATAAATCTTAATGACAAAGGCAGATGCTTTCTACTTCCACCCAGTCATGAAGGTTGTCAAACAGACACCATCAAGGGTCACAACTTGATACCCTAATATGATTGAGTGGAGATAAGAAAGAAGAAGACAATCTTGGTAGGGTTGGAATACAGGTTCTTGTAACGGCAGCTGGCATGCCTATATAGTAAATTATCAGTGAGCACATATTTATCACTGATGATACTCTGTGCAGTTGACTTTTGACTGATTGTAATATATCCACATGTAAACTTATGTCTAATAATTAATACATTATATCCGATGTTAGCCTAAAATAAATAAATACTTTTCTTTTAAACTTCCAAGTACTTCTTGCTGATTAACGTCAACCAACAAATACGAGGATGTTACAGTTCTCTCTTGAGGCTTCCATGCAATAAGTCTCCATGATAGGTAAAAAGAGCTGCGTCGTTGGTTGGCTATTTATCACATGGACAGTCAGACTTTGCCCCTCCTATAACGATAAGAGTATCTAGGTTTCTGGAAATTTTACCATAATTTGAACAGAAATTCTCATTATAGGTGTATGTTGAGCAAAGAAAGAACGAATGACAATAAATATAGGTGTTTTTTATTCTCAGTGAAGTTGTCTTAGCTAATCACTGTCGTCATGGGGCGGTGGGTTGAGAGGCCGTTCTTCTACGTCCGACCTGTGACACATCAAACTGTCACACAGATCCCAGAGCTCCATATGATCTACCTACCCGTAGATGACTTCTTCGTCGGATTCATTGATCATAGACAATGCTGGATTATCCTTCACTCGTGTCTCTGTAAACACACAGTTAACTCTGGCAACCTATGTTTGAAAGTTTTAAACAGAACTCTGTCGAAAAGAAGTTAGAAATGTGAACTAAGCTTAATCAAATCTATATATTTAATTAAAAAGGCAGTATATTGGATCAAAATATAATTTATTTTACCAATATTTCAAGGTATTATAACATTTAATGTTGTTGACACACATCAATGTTGTAATGTTTGAAAGTTTTAAACAGAAGTCTGTCAAGAAAAGAAGTTAGAAATGTGAACTAAGCTTAATCAAATCTATATATTTAATTAAAAAGGCAGTATATTGGATCAAAATATAATTTATTTTACCAATATTTCAAGGTATTATAACATTTCATGTTGTTGACACACATCAATGTTGTAATGTTTGAAAGTTTTAAACAGAAGTCTGTCAAGAAAAGAAGTTAGAAATGTGAACTAAGCTTAATCAAATCTATATCTTTAATTAAAAAGGCAGTATATTGGATCAAAATATCATTTATTTTACTAATATTTCAGTTGACTGAACGCCAATCTTTATCACAAGGTGTTATAACATATTTAATGTTGTTGACACACATTAAATATGTTATAACACCTTGATAAAGATTGGCGTTCAGCCAACTGAAATATTGGTAAAATAAATTATATTTTGATCCAATATATACCTTTTTAATTGAAGATATATTTATGGATTGCTCTATTTTCAAATATATATCTAGTCACTCAATTTGTCATATCACACCGAAAATTCTAGAAATACTTATATAAAAGAGGTCTATCAGAAATGCTGGAAATATCTTTATTTACGGGGCTGCTAACCAAAATGGATGATTTTGGAACCCCAAGTATAAGATATCCTGAGGAGAAACTGAACAAACTGCTCTTCACCTTATCTATGACTGTCTCAACTTAACAGAAGTGAGACATCGATTGTTTCCTGATCTAAATGATCTAACTCTCTTACATCAGTAAGGCTTGATAACCTGATATGATTGTTATGGGGAGAATAAGAAAGAAGAAGACTCATCCCCAGTAGACACCATCAACAAGCTCTACAGACTTAATATCTTGATATGATTGTTATGGGGAGAATAAGAAAGAAGAAGACTCATCCCCAGTAGACACCATCAACAAGCTCTACAGACTTAATATCTTGATATGATTGTTATGGGGAGAATAAGAAAGAAGAATACTAGTAAAGTTTTTAATTAGGGTGATGAACAAGCTTATCATTCTCTGATGCACAAACAAAGGAAGAGATGCCTGTTTTGGTACAGAATTATTTATGTTTAGAAGTAAATATTGGAGCTTATCAGGTAAAATATGTTAGGAAATGGATCATTTGAGAGGCCCGCAAAGATTCCATTAAGCAGCTTGTAGATTACCATCTTCTCCAAGGCCAATAAGAGTTAAAGAATCATTCTCTTATGCACAATTAAAGGGAGAGATGTCGCTTTTAGTACGTAATTCTTTATGTTTAGAAGAAATATTGGAGATTATCCTGTAAAATACGTTAGGAAATGGATCATTTGAGAGGCCGACAAAGATTCCATTGAGCAGCTTGTAGATTACCTTCTTCTCCAAGGCCAATAAGAGTTACATAACAAAGCCATCGTTGTTTATTCCTGGTAAGCCATGGTATATACTTACCCACATGGGCTGTGGGAGATGGTGAGTAGACGTAAGCCATGGTGAAGAGGTAGAAGTTGAGCAGACCATACGATGCCATAAACTGTACGGAGCTGGAGTAGGTAGTGGATAGCTGAGCTGCAAAGTTATCCTCCAGGGCAGCACTCAGTCCGAACCTCAGTGCAGTCACGGCCACGCTAACGGCCAACGTCACGAGGGTCAATGCCGTCAGGAACTTGAGACGTACATCTGCGCAGAACTATCTGTCTTTCTGTTTGGCTAAGTTGAGAAAATCAAAATTACACTTTAACGAATTCCATTCCTGCCCAGAAGTCCTCCTCTACATGGCGGGCAGGAGAATCAGCACAAGTAAGGGACTGCCCTGTAGGGTGAAATACGGTGCGATAACCGTGAAGGCCTACAGGGAACGCTGAAATGTGGCTGACTAACGGGACAATGGCACCTCCCATTCCATGGAGCAACAAAATCAGAGATTGGCTATCCAGAAGAGGACATTCATACGAACAAGGCACTTCAGTTGGCCGATATTGTGATCAGGGTGCATGGACCGATCTGATCTACTCCATGGACAAGACACCACCACCATAAATTCCATTTCACATTGAGGGGAAAAAACAACAGAAAAACAAGATAACTCTTTCTAAAATTAGAAAAAAGGTATAAAAGACATATACTCTCTCCTTGAATGCTGGCCTAAGCGAGGGTTACACAAAAATAAAAGCTAACAATAAAAAAGTAATTAATTTCCAGTAATCTTGCTGATGACTTAATAATCAATCATAATTCTACCTTTAGCTAAAATACAAGGTGGGATCAATAAATAAGGTGAATTATAATTTATTAAAAAAATAAGAACGATATTAAAAATTAGGACTTGATTTATTAAAAATAATCACCTTGGCTTTCTATACCTCGTCTCCATCGTTCTGGCAACTTGTAAATACCCTCTTTATAGGTACTCTAGGAAGCGTGTGAAAAAAATCTTGCACCACTTTCTGGACATCTTCATCCGAGTCAAATCGCTTTCCCTTTAACTCCTTTTTTAGTAGTCCAAAAAGAAAATAGTCGGAGGGGGCTAGGTCTGGACTATATGCAGGATGTTCTAAAACTTCAAAACCTAATTTAATGATTGTAGATGCAGTTTTACATGATGTATGCGGCCTTTAAAATCCGAATACGGTTAAGTCTAAATTAAGGAAATGTGGAATTCGTCCATTTTTGAACTCGTTAACCCATTTATAAATGTTTTTTGAGACAAAAAAGACTCACCATAGATATTTTTCATTCTTTGGCATATTTGAGATGTTTGAATACCTTCTGCATTCAAGAAACGAATAACTACACGTTGTTCAAGCGTGGTGCAATCCTTCAAGGGAGCTTCCATTTTAGTTTATTTATAAGTCTCGCGCCGCGCGTGGGAAAAAGAACAGAACACCTTAAATAGTCTCTCGATGTTATATTTTAATATTCTGTGGTTTAAATTA